CTCTCCCCGGCTCTGGGAGGGGAGTGGGGGGGCTGTGAGCTGGGGTTTGGGGGGCCCGGCTCTGGGAGGGGAGTGGGGGCTGTGAGCTGGGGTTTGGGGGGGCCCAGCTCTCTCAGCCCCCCCCCCGGTGTTTCAGATGAACACGGCCATGGACGGCTGCCTGCGGCACTGGATCTGGCTGAACCAGAGCACAACCTGGCGGGAAGGCGCCGCCCTGCAGGCGAAGGCCAAACCCTGCTTCAGCGCCCTGCGGCCCGGCAGCTTCTTCCCCGGGGCCGGGCTGGCCAGCTTCCGCCCAGCAGGTACCCCGGGGACCCCTGCGTCCGGGCGGCCTGGGCTCACCTTCCTTCTCAACACGGCCTCTGTCCGCCACGGGGACCCCCACCCTGCCCCCCGGCCTGCCCCCTCCTCCCATGGGGACCCCCCACCCTGCCCCCTCACCAGCCTCCTCCCGTGGGGACCCCCATCCCCACCCTCCTCACCAGCCTCCTCCCCTGTGGGGACCCCCATCCCACCCTCCTCACCAGTCCTCTCCCCCCATGGGGACCCCCTACCCTGTTCCCTCGGCCTGCCCCCTCCTCCCATGGGGACCCCCCATCCCACCCCCCGCCCAGGACCTGCCCCCATGGTGACCCCTCCATCCAGCCCCTCCTCACCCAGCGCCATCCCCCCATGGTGACCCCCATCCTGTCTCATTGTCTGGCCCCCTGCCCCTGCGGTAATGCCCCCCATCCCACCCCCCTCTGCCCAGCACCCCCTGAAGTGATCCCCCAGCCTCTCTATGGTGACAACCCCAGGCCCCCCCTTCCCAGGCCTCCCAACCGTGACCCCCCACTCCCTCCTTCTCCCCAACTCCCCCCGCGGCAGCATCTGCTGGGGGAGGGTCCAGCCCCCCCCCAGTTAACCTGCCCCTGGTGTTTGCTCCCCCCCAGACCTGGCTGGCGGTGCTGCGCCCCCCAACGGAAGCTGGGGGCTGCAGGTGGAGCTGGGGCTCCGGGCCTCCCGGCAGACAGGGCTGGTGCTGGCTGTGGGGGCCCCAGACGGGAGCCTGGCACTGACCCTGGCCCTGCAGCCCACGGTGAGTCCCGGGGGGGGGCAGGATGGGGTGGGGGTCCCCATGGGGGGAGGGCGCTGGGTGAGGGGCATGGTGCCAGGGATCTGCTCACTTGGGGGAGCGTGGTGCCAGGGATCCATTCACCAAGGGGAGATGCTGGGGATCCGCTCCTGGGGAGGACACAGTGCCAGGGATCTGCTCACTTGGACGGGCGGAGTGGCAGGGACCCACTCACTGGGGGGGGCGTGGTGCCAGGGATCCGCTCACGAGGGGGAAAGGCTGGGGATCCGCTCACCAGGGCCATGGTGCTGGGGATCTGCTCACTTCAGGGGCACAGTGCCAGGGATCCGCTCACGAGGGGGAAAGGCTGGGGATCCGCTTACAGGGAGGACTCAGTGCCAGGGATCCGCTCACCAGGGCCATGGTGCAGGGGATCTGCTCACTTCAGCGGCACAGTGCCAGGGATCCGCTCACCACGGGGCGTGGTGCTGGGATCCTCTCTCCAGGAGGATGTGGTGACAGGGATGCACTCACCGGGGGACATAGTGCTGGGGGGATCCACTCACCAGGGGGACGGGGCCCTGGATCTGGTCACTGGGGGGCGCTGTGCCAGGAATCTGCTCATGGGGGGGTGCAGTGCCAGGGACCCGCTCACTGGGGGCACCATCGGGGGGGGAATCGCCACTCACGTGTAGCATGGGGGCAGATTTGGGGAGACCCGTCTCCGTCTCCCCCTGACCCTCCCCCTCACTCTCCCGCAGGCCCTGGTGGCGCGTCTGGGTAATCGGACCGAGCTGCAGCTGCCCCTGCCGGAGGGGCCCTGCCTGGACGCCCCCCTGCGCCTGCGGGTCTCCCCCACCCAGCTGGCCCTGCAGCTGGGCAACCACGGGGACACCCTGCCTAGCCAGCCCCCTGACTTCCAGTGGCTGCAGGAGGCCTGGCTGGGCCAGGATGGGCGGCTCTTCATTGGCGGGCTGCCAGGTACGTTCCCTGCCCCGCCCAGCCGGCCCGCGGTAGCAACTTCCTCCACCCCTGGGTACCACTTGATGGCTTCCCCCACACCTGGGACGGCCTTGACTGTGCCCCCATCCCAGGTTAGCTCGGCTGGCCTTGATGTGAGACCCTCCCCCAAGAAGGGGTGGCTGTGTGGGTGGTGGGGGATGCCGGGGGGGGGTCCCCTCTCTCCCCTCCTTCTGACATGATATCTCCCTTGCAGAAGGAGGTGAGACCCCCAGGCCCCAGGAGTGGGGGGCCTTCCGGGGCTGCCTGCGGGGGATCCAGGTGCAAGGCCACCAGCTGGACCTGGACTCGGCCCTGTTCAGGAGCGACACCATCTGGGCCCACAGCTGCCCCGGCGGCCACGAGGGGGCGGGAGGGGGGAGCTGAGCTGGGGGCAACGGTGCTGCTTAAAGGGTCTGCCGGGCGACGCCCCCTCCCTCGTTACCTGGCCACCACCACCGGTGGTGGGACGGTGTATGTGGCCGGGGGTGTAGGAGTGGTGGTGACCTGTGATGGTGTGGGGCTGTGACTGGGGGGGGAGGGGTTTGTGGCTGGGAGCGAGTGTGCGGCTGTGCTGGTGTGGGGCTGTGACTGGGGGGAGGGGGCTGTGGCTGGGAGCGAGTGTGCGGCTGTGCTGGTGTGGGGTTGTGACACAAAGTGGGACCGTTCTTAATGTTCTCTCTGAATACTGTGTGGGTGCCTCAGTTTCCCCTATGCAGTTCTTAAATATCTAGGTGGTGGGATAAGGGGGTGTGATTGTTGCAGAGCCCGAGAGGGCCTGTGCGATAGTGTCTGCACAGGGAATGTCTCCTGGCCACTGATGGCCTGAGCCCCTCCTCTGCAAAGGTGCCAACTGAAGGTGTTGGAGACAAAGAGATCAGGTGACCTCCTGGCCCAGGAAAGAGACAAAGGCCAGAGGAGGGGCTGGAGAGTTTCAGTTTGGAGCTGGCTGGGGAAACTGAGGGAAGCCCAGCACCGGGGTCTGAGCTCCCTACACCCCAAGATGGACCTGACTGAGGGGTCCTGTTGTCTGTACCTACAAGCTGTTTTGGACTGTGTTCCTCTCGTCTAATAAACCTTCTGTGTTACTGGCTGGCTGAGAGTCGCGGTGAATTGCAGGAAGTGGGGGGTGCAGGGCCCGGACTCCCCCCCCATTCCGTGACAGGCTGTGACTGGGAGTGTGACTGTGCTGTGTCTGGGAGCACTTTTCTGTGACCAGTGTTGGGCTGTGTCTCCGAGCAGCTGTGATGGTGTCCGCCTGTGACCGGCTGGGAGTGGTTGTGGGTCGGCGGCGATGTCTGTCGTGACGAGGCGCAGCTGTGACGGTGCAGGGCTGGGCCTGGGCATGGTTGCGATGGTGTGGGCCTGCGTCTGTGGTGGTGTCTAGCTGTGACTAGGAGGAGGGGTGGTGTGGCTGTGCTGGTGGCATGCTGACACTGGGGGGTTGTGAGGCCGTTGTGACAGTGTCCAGCTGTGTAATTATGAGTACTTGTGACAGTGTCGGGTCATGTTTGGGAGCTGTTGTGCAGTTGGGATGGTATCTGCTTTGCTGTGTCTGTGCGGCTGTGCGTGACGGGGTGACTGTGAGCAGCTGAGATTGGGTGACAGTGGTTGGACGGTGGTTGTGAAAGGCTGCGCTTGTAAGTGGGATTTGTTTGTAGCACCGTGACTGGTTTTGCAGCGGCGAGGGTGGGTGTTTGTGTGATTGTGCTCATGTAGGATTGTGAGCTGCGCTTGTACAAGACTGTGTGACTGTCGCCCATGTGGGTGTTTGTTACTGGGTGTCTGTGTCTTCCATTGTGAGTGTGCAACAGTGACTGTATGACCGTGTATGTGTGTGTGTGTCAAGCTCATCCCAAGTAGTTGTGTGACTGTCGTGAGCACGAGTCTGACTGTGTGTGTGTGTCCGAGGGGCTAATTTTTTTCATGCTCCATGTGTTTTGTTGAGGTGACTGTGATTGCGGGTGACTGTCTGATATTGTGTGTGTGTGTGCACGCACATACGCTTCTTCTCCATGTACAGCCTATGAAGACTCAGCTCTATGCACACACCTGAGACTGTGTAACGGTGAATGATTGTAGTTTGCACCGGTGTAATCCAAAGACTCGACGACTGTGTGTGGCGGTGTGGTCGTAGAGTTGATCAATTTTCAGGCCAGAAAAGAGCTTTAGATCTCAAGTCTGATCCTCCTGTCGAGCACGGACTGGAGTATTTCACCCAGACCGCCTGTACTGAGACCAACAACTCCGGGCTGCATCAAGTTATCTACCTTCCTTTCTTTGCTGATTAAAGTAGTGTGTGTGTGTGTAGCTAAGAGATTGTAAAGCTGTGACTAAGTGTGACTGACTGGTGTGTGTGTGTGTATGAGAGAGAGAGAAAGAGAGAGAGAGACTTTGTAATTGTGGACAACTGCAGTTTCTTAATTACACACACCCAGAGCCATACAGTCTCATAATCACACACCCACCAACAGTCATGCACAGATACAGCCGTACAATCTCATAGTCTCTCACACACCCACTGTGGTCATAGCTGTATAGTGTTAGTCACACAGTTGCTCTGTCATGGGCTCTTAACTACACCGCCCGCAACTACAGCCCTTCATGATTACAGTCACAACAGTACAGTCTCCTAGTCTCTTTCATACAGTCTCCCATAATCTCTTTAATCACACCCTAAACTACAGTCATTCGCAGTTACATCCATCAAGATTTAGTCACACATACAGCTACAGTCATTCATAGACACACAAACTCAGCCATAGTCTCCTAATCTCACACACAACTACAGTGATTCCATCGTAATCTCGTACCTGTGCAGCCACGCACAACCAACACAGTGTAATTGTGAATGGCTGTAGTTGTGTGGGGGTGCATAACTAAGAGATTATGATGGCGTGACACGTGACTGGAATTGTGTATGTCTGCATGGCGAAGACTGTGCATCTCTGAACGACTGTAGCTGTACGCGTGACTAAGACTTGATGGCTGTAACTGCAAATGACTGTAGTTTGGCGGGGTGATTAAGAGACTATGACTGTGGGAGACTGTACCATAAAAGAGAGACTATGAAGAGAGAGACTAGACGACTGTGCCGGTGGTTACTGTAATTGAATCATAGAATCATAGAAGATCAGGGTTGGAAGGGACCTCAGGAGGTATCTAGTCCAACCCCCTGCTCAAAGCAGGACCAATCCCCAACTAAATCATCCCAGCCAGGGCTTTGTCAAGCCGGGCCTTAAAAACCTCTAAGGAAGGAGACTCCACCACCTCCCTAGGGAACCCATTCCAGTGCTTCACCACCCTCCTAGTGAAATAGTGTTTCCTAATATCCAACCTGGACCTCCCCCACTGCAACTTGAGACCATTGCTCCTTGTTCTGTCATCTGCTACCATTGAGAACAGTCTAGATCCATCCTCTTTGGAACCCCCCCTTCAGGTAGTTGAAGGCTGCTATCAAATCCCCCCTCATTCTTCTCTTCTGGACACTAAACAATCCCAGTTCCCTCACCCTCTCCTCATAACTCATGTGCTCCAGACCCTAATCATTTTTGTTGCCCTCCACTGGACTCTTTCCAATTTTTCCACATCCTTTTTGTAGTGTGGGGCCCAAAACTGGACACAGTACTCCAGATGAGACTTCACCAATGTCGAATAAAGGGGAACGATCACGTTCCTCGATCTGCTGGCAATGCCCCTACTTATACAGCCCAAAATGCCGTTAGCCTTCTTGGCAACAAGAGCACACTGCTGACTCATATCCAGCTTCTCGTCCACTGTGACCCCTAGGTCCTTTTCTGCAGAACTGCTACCTAGCCATTCGGTCCCTAGTCTGTAGCAGTGCATGGGATTCTTCCGTCCTAAGTGCAGGACTCTGC